GGTCCATCCTGTCGGCACGTCTGGTGTTTCGGTGATGATGATGAGGAGGAGGAGGAGGAGGAGGACGACGAGGACGAGGACGAGGAGGAGGAGGAGGAGGAGGAGGAGGAGAAGGAGGGAGGGGGAGGGAGGAGCGGGGAAGGAGGAAGGAGGGGAGGGGAAGGGAGGAGGGAGGAGAGGAGGGGGAGGGTGGAGGAAGAGTGAGGAGGAGGAGGAGGAGGGGGAGGAGGGGAGGAGGAGGAGGAGAAGGAGGGGAGGGGGAGGGAGAGGGGGAAGGGGGGAGGAGCTATCTTGGAGGAGGAGGGGGAGGATGGGGGAGGGTGGGCCGCAGGGGGGCGCCAGGAGGACGGCGTCGTCCACGCCGTCTCCTCGGACAGGCAGGTCGGCGAGTCCCTGGCTCCGGTGGAGGACATGCGGGGTTGGGGAGTGTCTTCGGCATCCTTTAAACGATCCCTATCCCCATCCCCATCCGCGGGCGGCTCTGCGGCGCGCCGCGCCGCCGCCAGCTCCGCGGCCTCCATTCCCACCACCGGGCCCTCCCTCGGTGCGCCGACGGCTGCCGCCTCCGCGCCACGCGCGGCGGCAGGGGCGTCGGCCCAGGCGTTGCCCTCGAGGTCCGACGCCATGGGCGCGTCGCCAGCCTCGGAGCCAGCATATCGGTATCCATTGACCGATCCCCATCCCCATCCCCTTCGAGACCCCCACGAAATTACCCCCCCAGTTGGGGATACACCCCTCGAAACTTGGAGGGAACGGCCTAGATCCCCATCCAGAGGGGTAAGTCGGCCACTGGGGCCCAGGCCACGCCGCTGGGGATGGGGATCGAATAAACGATACTCGTGTTTCTCCTCAGATGGTTGGGAGAAATGGGGCGGGAGGGAGGAAGGACAGGAGAGGAAGGAAGGACAGAGAGATGGAAGAGATGGAGGGAGAGAGGAAGCATGGAAGGAGGGGTGCGCTCTTTTCTCGCCGCTCTCTGTGGGGATGGCCGTGATGGTCCCTAATCCGAAAAGAAATAAGGAGAACGGAAGGGAGGGAAGGAGGAGGGAGAGGCGGAGGAGGAGGACGAGTAGGAGGAGGAGGAGGCGGAGGACATTGGGGCGGATGGGAGGGGGGAAGGGGAGGATGGGGGAGGGCGGGAGGGGAAAGGCGGAGATGAATTCTAATAATGATATGCTGCTAGAGATAAATGCGCGGTGGTTGTATTTGTTGGTTGCCGCAGCGACGATGCAGCTCTGTTGCGTGAGTCCGCGCCGCGCAAGGGGACGACGAGAAGGAAGAGAAAGAGGAGCCGGGCGCCAGGAGGAGGGCCTCGTCAGGCCGGCCTCCACGGACCTGCAGGACGAGTCCCTAGCTCCCGTGGAGGACGATCCGGCAACCCGCTGGCAGGGGGGAGGGCCGTTCGGGTCGGGATTGTTGGCGCCGCTGATCCGGCAACCCGCTGGCAGGGGGGAGGGCCGTTCGGGTCGGGATTGTTGGCGCCGCTGCTCTTTTCTCGCGACGCGCGTTCCACTACTCGCAGAGTGCCTACTCGCAAACGTCAGAGAAAGCCGGGCCTGCATCGGTGCAATTTTCGCGAATCTCTGGCGTGGCGGGTCCGTGCCATTTGCGAGCAGTGACTTCGGGAGTAGCGGCACGCGCTCGTCTACTTTCGGACCGGGGAGGGGGGGGCTGGGGCAGGGGCGCGGACGGGGGAGGAGCAGGAGGAGAGGACGCAGGAGGGAACCAGCTGCACGAGCGGGGCCGAAGAGCCCGCGGGCGCAGCCGGCCTCGGCGCTGGCCGCTTTTCGCACCGCGGCGCCGTCGCGTCAGACAGCGCCGCCTCGGCGAGCTCGTCGCAGGCGCCCCCGGGGGAGCCGCCGCGCACGCGCTGCGCGGCCCGCGACGCGTCGAGCCCCCGCCGCCCCCCCGCTCGTCGGGTCGAGCAGCTCCTCGAGCGGCTCGGCGGCGCCGCTGGCCGCGTCGGCCCCCCAGGCTGGACTGCCTCTTGAGGAGGCCGGACGACGCCAGGCCACCCCGCAGAGGGCCCCCAGGAGGCCCTCGAGGGGCCCCCAGGAGGCCCTCGAGAGGCCCCCAAGAGGCCCTCAAGAAGCCCCACGGGGGCCCCCAAGCTCCCAGGAGGCCCCCACTCTCGTCGAGCGGCTCCTCCAGCAGCTCGGCAGGCGCCGTCCGCCGCGTCGTCCCGCCCGGTGGCGCATCCGCCCAGTCGTTTCTCCTTCCTTCTCCTCCTTCCTCCTCC